AATACTTGTAGTCGTCCTAGTGGCAGTGGTAGTGGTAACGGTAGTAATCACACCAGAAAGTTTATGTATGTGTAATTACAGTATACATTACATTGGACTAGGTTATCATGTTTTTCCCAACCCTCCTTGGTTGGGTTTTCGTTTTGAATAGAGGGGTGTGGTCGCGTCCTTCTCCTCCCGCCTCCCGCCTCCCACCTCCCTCTTGTCTCCTCTCGCCGTCCCTGGGGGCTGCGATCTGTGAAACTGTCGCCACGTTCGAGGGCTGCTGGGGAGGCCAGCAGAGAGGGCACTCACCGCGGATCCAAACGGGACCTCGCCGTCCCTGGGGGGCTGCAATTTGTGAAACTGTCGTCACTTTCGAGGGTTGCTGGGGAGGCCAGCAGAGAGGGCACTCACCGCGGATCCAAACGGGACCTCGCCGTCCCTGGGGGGCTGCGATATGTGAAATTGTCGCCACTTTCGAGGGCTGCTGGGGAGGCAAGCAGAGAGGGTACTCACCGCGGGTCCAAACGGTACCTCGCCGTTCCTGGGGGGCTGCGATCTGCGAAACTGTCGCCACTTTCGAGGGTTGCTGGGGAGGCCGGCAGAGAGGGTACTCACCGCGGATCCAAATGGGACCTCGCCGTCCCTGGGGGGCTGCGATCTGTGAAATTGCCGCCACTTTCGAGGGCTGCTGGGGAGGCCAGCAGAGAGGGCACTCACCGCGGATCCAAACGGGACCTCGCCGTCCCTGGGGGGCTGCGATCTGTGAAACTGTCGCCACTTTCGGGGGCTGCTGGGGAGGCCAACAAAGAGGGCACTCACCGCGGATCCAAACGCAACCTCGCCGTCCCTGGGGGGCTGCGATTTGTGAAACTGTCGCCACGTTCGAGGGCTGCTGGGGAGGCCCGCGGAGAGGGTACTCACCGCGGATGTGAGTGGGACCTCGCCGTCCCTGGGGGGCTGCGATTTGCGAAATTGTCGCCACTTTCGAGGGCTGCTGGTGGGTCCTGCGGAGTGAGGCGCCGCGCGGACCTGAGCGGGACCTCGCCGTCCCTGGGGGGCTGCGATCTGCGAAGCTGTCGCCACTTTCGGGGGCTGCTGGTGGGTTCTGCGGGGTGAGGCACCGCGCGGGCCTGAGCGGGACCTGGCCGCCCCTGGGGGGCTGCGATCTGCGAAACTGTCGCCACTTTCGAGGGCTGCTGGTGGGCCCTGCAGAGTGAAGCACCGCGCGGACCTGAGCGGGACCTCGCCGTCCCTGGGGGGCTGCGGTTTGCGAAACTGTCGCCACTTTCGAGGGCTGCTGGTGGGTCCTGCGGAGTGAAGCACCGCGCGGACCTGAGCGGGACCTCGCCGTCCACTTTCGAGGGCTGCTGGTGGGTCCAACGGAGTGAGGCACCGCGCGGACCTGAGCGGGACCTCGCCGTCCCTGAAGGGCTGCGATCTGCGAAGCTGTCGCCACTTTCGAGGGTTGCTGGTGGGTCCTGCGGAGTGAGGCTCCGCGCGGATGTGAGTGGGACCTCGCCGTCCCTGGGGGGCTGCCATCTGCGAAACTGTCGCCACGTTCGAGGGCTGCTGGTGGGTCCTGCGGAGTTAGGCACCGCGCGGATCTGAGCGGGACCTCGCCGTCCCTGGGGGGCTGCGATCCGCGAAACTGACGCCACTTTCGAGGGCTGCTGGTGGGTCCAGCGGAGCGAGGCACCAGGCAGATCTGAGCGGGACATCGCAATCCTTGGGGGGCTGCGAGCCTCACGAATGCCGCTCGCAGAAGTATATGCGCCCACGTCACGTCACCACCTCCGTATAACGACTCCCAATCTACTCATGCCCCGCATTGCGCAGGGGTTGGGTACGTCGCCAGGATAAGTATGTTTTGTGATGGGGTTTTTTATGTATAATGGAAACTCGTTTGCGCGGGTTGGTTGGCGGACTGGGACCGAAAACAATTTTGGGGAAAACCTTTCCCTCCCGCTGCGCCGCTGCCGTCTTCAGGGTTTCTAGGAATCCGGAAGCCTCTGAAGACGGCGAGGCGGGAATGGATGAGGGCGAGCAGGAGGGCGCGGAGGGCAGGGACGAGGAGAGGCAGCACGAGCATTGCCAGCCGAAGGCTCTGCGGGGAGTGGGAGGGGGTGCGGCATTAAAGAAACTCTGCGGTTAGCAGTAGCAGAGAAAGTAGTAGTAATAGCAAAAATAGTAGTACGAATAATAATAGCAGTAGTGATAGTAGTAGTGATAGTAGTAGTAGTAGTAGTAGTAGTAGTAGTAGTAGTAGTAGTAGTAGTAGTAGTAGTAGTAGTAGTAGTAGTAGTGGTAGTAGTAGTAGTAGTAGTAGCAGCAGCAGCAGTCGTAGTAGTAGTAGTAGTACGAGCAGCCGTAGTAGTAGCAGCAACACTAGTAGTAGTAGTAGCCGTCGTCGTCGTCGTCGTCGTCGTCGCCGTCGTCGTCGTCGTCGTCGTCGTCGTCGTCGTCGTTGTAGTAGTAGTAGTAGTAGTAGTAGTCGTCGTAGTAGTAGTAGCAGCAGCAGCAGGAGTAGTAGTAGTAGTAGTAGTAGAAGTAGTAGTAGTAGTAGTAGTAGTCGTAGTAGTAGTAGTTGTACTAGAAGTAGTAGTAGTAGTAGTAGCAGCAGTAGTAGTAGTAGTAGTAGTGGTAGTAGTAGTAGTAGTCGTAGTAGTAGTAGTAGTAGTAGTAGTAGTAGTAGTAGTAGTAGTGGTGGTGGTGGTGGTGGTAGTAGTAGTAGTGGTAGTCGGTAGCAGGTAGTAGGTAGTAGAAAAAATAGTGTAGCCTGGGCCGTAGTAATTGATAGCACGTAGTAGTAGCAATAGTTGTAGTACTAGCACTAGTAGCAGTAGCACTACCAGTAGTAGTCGTTGTTGTCGTGGTAGTAGCAATAATAATCGCAGTGGCCGTAGTAGCAGTCGTAGTGGTAGTGGCAGTAGTAGTGTTAGGAGCAGTAGTATTAGGAGGTAGTAGAAGTAATTGTAGTAGTAGTGGTAGTAGTAGTAGTATCCGTAGTAGTAGTAGTAATAGTAGTAGTAGTAGTAGTAGTAGTGATAGTAGTGGTAGTAGTAGTAGTAGTAGTAGTAGTAGTAGTAGTAGTAGTAGTAGTAGTAGTAGTAGTAGTAGTAGTAGAGTACAAGTAGTAGCAGTAGTAGCAGTGGTAGTAGTAATAGTAGTAGTGGTGGCACGAGCACTAGTAAACAATCGCACTAACCGTCGTGATAGCAGTGGTGGTAGTAGTAATCGTAAAAGTAGGAGTAGTAGTAATACTGGTAATGTGTGTAATAATGTGTTGCAGTGATGATAACAATTAAAAACAATAGCGCCGAACAAAAAAAAGAAGAACTATATAGTAGTAGCAGTACTAAGAAACAATCGAAGTATTAGTAGTAGTAGCAGCAGTAGTGGTATTGGAAGTAGTAGTAACTCTACGCAGTAGCAGTAGCAGTAGTAGCAGTCGCAGTCGTAGTCGTAGTCGTAGTCGTACTGGTGGTAGTAGAAGTAGTAGTAGTAGTAGTAGTAGTAGTAGTAGTAGTAGTAGTAGTAGTAGTAGTAGTAGTAGTAGTAGTAGTAGTAGTAGTAGTCGCTGTCGTAGTCGTAGCCGCAGTAGTAGTAGGCGTGGCCGTAGTAGTAGTAGTAGTAGTAGTCGTCGTCGTCGTATTATTACTGTTATCAGTACTACTAGTCGTAGTCGTAGTCGTAGTCGTACTGATGGTAGTAGTAGTAGTAGTAGTAGTAGTAGTAGTAGTAGTAGTAGTAGTAGTAGAAGTAGTAGTAGTGGTAGTAGTAGTAGTAGTAGTGGTGACAGTAGGAGTAGTAGTAGTAGTAGTAGTAGTCGCAGTAGTAGTAGCAATAGTGATAGTAATACTTCAAGCACTAGTAAGAGTAGTAGTAATAGTAGTAGTCGTATTAGTCGTAGGAGTAGTAGTAATAATAATCGCAGTCGTAGTAGTCGTAGTAGTCGTAGTAGTAATAAGCGAAGGAGAAGAAAGAGTAGCGTTAGTAGTAGTAGTAGTAGTAGTAGTAGTAGCAGCAGTAGTAGTAGTGATAGCAGTAGCAGCAGCAGCCGTAATGCCAAACTATCCCGAGCCCCTGGGTCAGCAGCAAGAAGAGGAGAAGGTGGAGGAGGATCGGGGATCGGAGACTTGAGGTACTTTGCCCATGGACCTCCAATGGCCTATGCGAGACATCCGAGGGCCTCCACGGACCCTGGGGGGACCTCTTGGACTGCACAGAGGCGGCGGAGGAGGGCAGCAGCTCGGGGCCGCCCACGATCATGCTGGGCCCCATCAGGAGGACGTGCACAGCACAGCAGTCCAATCGGCATGCCCGCACTCTGCACAATGCACGCTGTACGCCGCACACGTGGCCCGATCGAAAGGAAGCAAACACCGCACAGCGTACCTGGCATGCCTGCAATCTACATACGGCAGGCCACCTTCCAGGAGCAGTTCTCCCCTGAGGCCCGACACTGCGACAAAACTATTACAACATCGAGGGAAATCACGACCAGAGCCCTATGCAACAACTCTGTGCGGCATCTTTCGCGACGGATCGATCTCTGATGGTCCTGGGGCCCGAAACCGTGTGAAAACAGCCAGCGCGGAAAAACTGCAACGCCCATAACTCCTCGTCCTCCTCCTCCTCCTCCTCCTCCTCCTCCTCCTCCTCCTCCTCCTCCTCCTCCTCCTCCTCCTCCTCCTCCTCCTCCTCCCCCCCCCTCCTCCGAACGGGCGTTCCGCGGCCAGGCGCTCCGCGACGGAGAGGTCCATCGCCAGGTCCCGCTCAAACACGGCGTGCCGACGCGCTGGGTTACGGCCGCGATTTGGCGAGAAATGGTCGATATCGAAGTCGAAGTCGTCGTCGTCGGCGGCGTCGTCGTCGTTGTCGTCTTCGTCGTCGTCGTCGTCGTCGTCGCCGCCGCCGCCGTCGTCGTCGTCGACGGCGTCGTCATCGTCGTCGTCGGCGGGGTCGTCGTCGCCGTTCGGGTCCCGGACCGCGGGCGGCCGGGCAGCGGCGGGGGCCTTCACGCGGCCCGCCGCGTGTTCTGGGCACGGCGCGTGGGCGTCCAGACGCGAGGGCGGCACGTAATCGCCGCGCTGTTCCGACTTCGTGCCTGCCCCTGCCAGCACCGCGTCGCCGTGGTCGTCGTAGGGGCTGGGACCGGGGGAGGGGGGGGGGCAGAGGAGGAGGAGGAGGAGGAGGAGGAGGAGGAGGAGAAGCCACTTGGACCCAGACCATTTTGGCACAGCCCAGGGCTCAGGCGCCGCGCCCCCCTCGTGATACTTTCTCGCGAACGCTCCCGCGGCCAGGCCCGCGGCTGAGCAGCAGAGGGCGCGCGCGACACACGGCGCGCTCGGGACGCCGCAGAGGTTTCCCCGAGCCTTCCTGGCACAAGAGGCAGCGGGAAAAGCGTGGGCGAGCTAGACTGCTCCTCAGCGTGCTACAGGCTAAGCACCTCCTTGAGTCGCACCACAGCACTATGGGAGGAGGCACTTGGACGCGCAGACATTGTGAGACTAGGAATCCGAACTCTCTGTGGACCTGCTCTTGCGGCAACGTGCGGGCTCCCCGCCCAGATTCCACCAGACGTTCAGCCAGCAGAAAAAAGGACCAGAAGAAGTCCGCCAGCATCAGGGAATTGATTGCGCAGATTCCAGTTGCAGCACCAGATGAAGCGATTACCATCACTACGGTGTGGGAACCTCCGCCGCCCGAGGCTGAGGAACTGAAGATCTACAAGTCGAAGGCGCAGTCGAAGCTCCAGAAGTGTGCGAACCTTCTCGTCGCGGTTCGGGGCGCAGGGAAGGAGGATCCAGCTCTGGAGTTCGACGTCGGCGTGCTCAAGTACATGATGAGCGCCAGCAAGGGCTCGGAGAAGCAGCTGCATGAGTTGAAGGCCCAGCTCATCAGCGCCAAGGAGCGGATCGGCAAGATCCGAACCAAGGTAGAGGAACTGCTGGATGAGGAGGCGACGCTCTGCCTGATGGTGCGGAACCTGCAGAACTCCATCCAGCAGCTCCGCGAAGCGGAGGACGCGCCAGACCATGACGAGGACTGGCTGATGGCCCCGCCTGGCGGAAGCGAGCACGGCCTCAGGGCCGCCAGCAGTGCCCAGAGGCCCTGGGTGCAGGCGGCGGCCGAGAGGGCGGCAGCGCAGGCAGAGGCCAAGGCCCAGTCAGCCAAGGCCGCGGCGGAGGCGATTGCGAGCAGGGCGCCGCCGCCACCGCCGCCAGTGCCCAGCCAGCCACCGCAGCAGAAGGCCCAGCCTCAGCCGCCCCAGAAGGCGGCCCCGCGCGCAGCCTCAGGGGCGCCGCGCGGCCAGGCAGTCCCAGTAGCAGCAGCGCCGACGGCGCTAGAGTCCGCCATCTCCCACGGCGCCAGGCCTAAGAGCCCGTGGGGAATGGGCGAGGATGGCCAAACGGCAGCGGCCATCACAGCGATGACGGAGCAGATGAAGGCCATGCAGACCCAGCAGCAGGCCATCCAGGAGCACCTCTCGCGGATGCAGACGGGCCAGAACTTCCACGCGCATGCCCTGGCGAGGGCCATGGGCATTGCGCCGCCGCCAACCCACGGCGGCACGGTTCCAGATGCGCTCGCGGAGGCACAGACGATCCAGCAGGCACAACAGGCAGTGCTCGCGGGGCTCCCGCTTCCCAGCGCGGGCCCCCTGACCAGCAGGGGTCGGCGCCAGCGGGCATGCCGATGGACGCTGCCCCGCTCGCGCCAGGTTCTGGCGCAGCCCCCCAAGGCTTCGCGCCAGCCATGGGGCCGAGGGCGCCCTTCCAGAACAGCGCGAACGTGACGAGGCTCGTCCAGGACCCGCACGGGGGCACGGCGCCGTCGCTCTTGGCAGAGGGCCCTGTGGCAACGACGCCGCCGCCGAAGAGGCAGTCGGCATCGCTGACGCCAGCCAGGGCCCCCAACTTCGGCGCGGCAGCCGAGACGAGGGCCCAGGCCGAGGAGAGGGCGGCCCCAGACACGCCGAAGGCAGAGGGAGCCTCCGACGAGACATTGGAGGCGCAGAGGCTGGCGGAGGAGATCGAGGAGACCGCCAGGCGCCAGCAGGACCTAATGGAGCCCAAGGAGGAGGTCTCGCCGATCGACCCTGCGCTGCTGGTGCCGACCCAGCCCACGATGGCGGAGGAGATGATCCCAGGGCCAGCTCACCTCCTGCAGCACATCCAGGAAACCCCCATCGACCTGACCAGCCAGACGCAGCGCCCCCCCACGCCCCCGCCCACGCAGCCTTCGCCTGGGTCGCCAGCGGAGGCCCCACCGCCAGCGCCTGTGACGCCGTTCCCCCCAGCCTGGGCAGCAGCGTCGGCGGCCGCGGCGGCACCTCCGCAGGCAGCGGCAGCCCCCTCAGCACCGGTTGCGGCGGCCTCGGCGGGACCGACGGCAGCAGCAGCGGCGGCAGCAGAGGCGGCGCCCCCCGCGGCCTCGAGGACCCGACCGCTCGAGGAGGGAGCCAAAGAGGGGGCCATGGGGGACTCGCCCAACAGATCCCCCCCCAGGAAGATGCAGTGCCAGGGATACGAACTGGCAGACGGGACCAACCTGTAGGCCCCAGCAGGGTCTCTTGGGGCCCAGTCGAAGTGAAGCGTTTCGACGCCCGTGCACCAATCCCAGTCCGACAAGCCAGGGTTGTGCTTTCTCGGACTTGTTTCACTCGGTCGATTCTCAAGTCGGCCCCTGCCATGAATCTCTCGCCCAGGGGTCATGGTGATGAGAACTCGCAGGCAGGTAATACCACCTCTTCGGCCGCTACTTCAGGCGACGCCAGTGAGGACTCAGCTTCGTCGTCCAGCTTGCCCAACGGCCGAGTGAGGCATCGCTTGCGTGGCAAGACTTCGAAGGAGCATCTTTTCCAGCCTCGTCCTCGCGATTTAGAGCGTGATGAGCCTGCTGAGCTAGGACATGAGGCCACCAAAACGTCAATTACAGTTGCGGTTGCGCCAGATCCCCCTCCACCGCCGTCGCGCCCCGCCCCGCCCAGGGAGCAGCTCGAAGCAGTTGCTGGGGGGAGTGTGCTGGCCTTGGGGGAGGGCGGTGGGTATATCACTCCCCTGCACCTCTACCCTTTGCTTTTTCAGAATCCTGCAAGCGATGGCAGTGATCACTGTGGGTTTCAGGAGGCGGACAGAACTTATCAGATTTTACTTCAGAACGTCAACTGGCTTGAGCTTTGCAATGATGATTTTGGAGACATCCCTTTGCATCACACTGCCAAGTTTGCTCTGGATATCTCAGCGCGCGGGGCACATAGAGCACGGTCCGTCCATATCTATGTCGACGCCTCGTACAGACAGACGCTCAGGGATTCGGCCTGGGCCCTTGCAGCTGTCGCGGTCTCGCCCGACGACAGGGCGAGCTTCCTCGGCTGGCAAAAAATGTGCGCATGGGACTCCACAGCTTTGCAGTTTGAGAAGGACGATATCACTAGCACGACAATCGAGCTCATGGGGATTTTGGAGTTCACTCTGGATCTTGGGTTTCTTCGGACCGAACACGGTGCACTCCCCCCCAGCATTGGTCATTTGTTGCGACAACCAGTCGGCTGTCAACATCTCCTTGGGTTCGGAGGTCCCGTCAGAGAACCTGCACTTGGCTTGGTTTACGTATCATGTGTACCAGTGCGCGCGCAGACGTCATGGTGCTTTGCTTGTGTATGTATGTGGTCACTCTGGACATCCTTGGAATGAGTTGGCAGACAGTTTAGCGCGATCGGACCGCGCGGTTGGGTGCTCGCCCCCGCCGGCCTTGCGTGAGGCTCTCAAATACACGAACGACCTTGAGTGGTGGTGGCTTAAGGAGGCACCGTTGGGCACGCGCGCTGCTTATCCACTAGGCCCAGATAACTCCTTTCGGTATCCTGGGCGCCCTCGAGTGTCGGTGGAGATGGCACAGGAGACTGTCGACCCCCAACCCTCGCAGACGTCGGCCCCCAGCAAATCCAGCCAGTTCAGTATCAGTTTGAGACTTGCCACTTTCAACGTCAAGACGGGCAGGGACGCGGAGGCCACGACGGCAAGACGCGCCAAAACGTCGGGCCGGGAGCATCGTGTCGGATGCAGTTGGAAGGGGGGCTTCAGGCAGGATGAGGACGAGTCGGGAGGGCCGTTTCACGACATGCTCCTGGAGACGGGGATGGCCGCCGCCAACACACTCGCCCCCTCCCTTAGCCAGGACTCGTACACGTTCGTCGCGTCTAAGTCCGAGGCCCCCCATAGGATTGACTATATCGCGGTTGAGCAGAGCATGATTCCCGCTCTTGGCCAGCTCCAGGTTCGGTATGGCACCGATTCCTCTTGTACTGGCAAAGATCACTACCCTGTTTTTTTGCGCTTCGAGTCCCAAGGATCCACCAAGGCGGCACAGGGACAGCTAGGTTTCGACGCGTTGGGCATCCAGGACCCTGATAAGGCAGCAGCTTTCAGGATGCACTTGGCAGCTTTCCCCACGGTGCCCAACCAGGTTGACATGAATCAGCACTTGCACGATATTATCCAATATGTATGCGGGTGCCCAAAGTTGTTTCCCCAAATCTGCGCGAGCCCCGATCAAGCCGCACGTTTCCGAGGATCTTCTTGGGGTGATTGTCTTCAGGAGGCAGGTGCGACAGGCTTGGCGTCTCTGGGGCAAGCAGGACTCAGGCGGTGCAAGGAGGTTGGTCGCCGCGTCGCTGGAAGCGGGGGCCCCCCAGAACATCGCAGATCTTGAGTTGGATTTCTTGGTCTCGGAGCTGTGTCAGGCCTTTGTTTCTTGGGATGCTCAGAGGCTGACGGCGAGCGAGCTCACCGAGCACATGATTGCATTCTTGGCCAAGTCGCAGCCGGCCTTGAGAAGGGCTCTGAAGCATTCTCGCAATAGGTTGTTGGACGACCTTGCGCAGCAGATGTGCAGTGCCAGGTCATCCCACGAGGGCCGAGTGGAATGGATGGTGTTGCGCCAGCTGCAAAGATTCGGGGGAAACCGCTCCAGGTCCCAGGTCGAGGGTTTGAAAATCCGCCGTGGCCCTCAGGGCGAAGTTCTGGCCACTTCGGGAGATCTCTCTGAGGCCCTCACGGACTACTTTGCTGTAATCGAGAACGGGCAGACACTGAGCTGGGA